CCCCCTCTTCTCCCTCCTTCTCCCTCCTTCTCCTTCCTCTCTTCCCTGTTTTCTGAACCACAGTTCTTCGGATTCCCTTATCCGGGCTGTCCTCCTTCCTCTCGATATTTTCCTGTCTCGAGAAACCCGGTGACCCTGAGACCACAAGTCCGGTCCGCTTCAGAATACCTCATGTCTCTGTGTCTCTCCACTATATGCATCTCAGTGTTCATTACTGTACTTTGTATGATATACTCTGTTAAAATTCAATAAAAACTTTGAAACAAAAAAAAAGTAGCTTATTTGTTGGCACTGAAGCGTGTGTGCCATATAAATTCCTAAAGCCCCATATTGCACAACATCACCAGTGGAACATTTTGATACTCTGCACTGCAATGAACTAATCTAGCAAATTAGAATGCTCCTACAACAAGTCTTATACTTGCCATGAATACTCTGTTCTTTATCAACTAAAAACAACTTGCTTTAATGTTCTTTTTAGGAATCTGGTTCCTTGCACATCAGTTTTTCAAGTAGTCAGCAATAGCTAGCTTTGCTACTGTTGATGGGGTCCTACAGTGAAATGACATTGGTCTTGTTGGCTGTTTTCAGCCTTTGCTAATACAATCTGCATTTTTCTTCCAGGTCCACTTGTACGTCGGTCTTCTGGTCATGTGCGGTTTTGTCTTATTTGACACTCAGCTCATTATTGAAAAAGTTGAGAATGGAGACAAAGACTATGTTTGGTAAGCATGATCACAATTTTTACACTAGAAACTTTTTCTGGCTTCATAAAACCTTTTAGAATCGGTATTGACATCACCGTTGTAAGCTAAATCAATATTTGCAGAGACCCTACCAGATTTACAAGGCACTTTTTCATCATAATCATTAAGATAATGAAGATGTGAACAAACTCTAGGGACAGGGAGAAAAAAAAAAACTCAAGGAGAGGGAGAAACAATCTTACAGGTTAACTATACAGTACACAATGCAATTATTTCAGCAAAGTTTTTTAAATTGATTTTTACCTGCATCTGTTCTAAAGGTATTAAGAGAGGCCATTTTGGTGTAGTTGCTAAATTGTCTTATAATGGGTACATAGGTGAAGGTGCTGCTTTTACTATAAGGACCTGGTTAGTTGTAGGGTTGTAATAATGCATTCCTTTTAGATGTGCAAGTAACTCAAAATATAAATCTTCCGGTGCTGTGAAGCAAAAGGCATTGCCAGATACACCATATTCCATACAACAGGCCGCTTATAACTTAACCCTTAAGGTCTGTGCACACAACATAGAGTGGGAATTAGCCAGATACTGGAACCAGGAGTAAATGTACTGTCATATAGATTCAAGGAAGATAAATCGGCATTCTTTTACAGTTATAGCAATCTATACTGCTTGCTGGGAAACAATGGTTTTTATTCCTTTTTATTGTGAATTTAAATGTGAGGTCAGTCTTAATGATTGCACAAAGTCAGGTTCCATCTCTAGAAGGCTTACTATATCATATATTCTTGTCTGTATTTACATACGTACATGCATGCATGCATACATACTAGATTTGTTTTCTCCTGCTAGTCCAGACATTAAAGTAGACATTGAATGCCAGCGTATCAGAGAGGACTGTTTTCTTCATAATAAAATAAAACCATATGCCGATTACAGTTGGGAATGAGAATCCTGGCCCATAGAGCTAACCATTTGAAGCTTGTGTTTTGTGCTTACAGGCACTGTGTAGATCTGTTTCTGGATTTTATTGCCATCTTCCGGAAAATCATGATGATTATGGCAATGAATGAGAAGGTATGTAGTCCTGTAATATAGAATTTTGTCCTCTAAAATTAATGTTTACAGTAGGTAAGAGCAATCTGTGCGCTGTCCTGCATTTCCTCCATCTGTGCAATGCAAGGAAGCGGGCACATTAATTTGACCTTAATTGTGTTGGCAGAGATCAAATTTGTAAGACCCCCCCCAAGTCAGCCAGTCTAGATTGTTCTTTTCATATTTTTCATTTGTAGTGAAAACTTAATCTAGCTCCAACCAGCACTGAGTATGTGGAATAGAAAGTGTCTTAATTATGATTCATTTCATATTCTGCTTTGCTGCTGTAAAGGTTTTGCCAAGCTGGCTTCCACTCTGTGTCAATATGAATAGCATCAGACTACCTCTTTGCAGAAGCAGTGGTTAGAGAGAGAGGGGAAGCGAGCTAATTGAGAACAATGCTATAGATGTAAACAGGATTTACACTAATTTACGGCACTGAAAACACTTTTTTTTTTTTTTTCTTTCACAAAATTTTATTGGGTATTCAAAAGAGGTAAAAGAGCTTTGCGTGCTTTGACGTGCCTTTACAAAATGTGCACAAACGTGGGGCGCGTTGGCGTTGCCATTAGGGATGCATTGATACCGTTTTTTCGGTATCGAGTGTGATTACCGATATTTTTTTCCGCTACTCGCCAAATACCAATACCGGAAGTCCCATTAAGGAAGCCGGGCAGCGTGTAATGACTCGCCGCCCGGCTTCCTGATTGGCCGGGAAGGCGGCTCCATGCTCTCATCACTAGGTGACGAGGAAGCATGGAGCTGGCTTTCTGGTGAATCAGGAATCCGGGGGGTGGCTAATGACTCGCCAACTGGCTTCCTGATACCGGACGTTCTGGTATCGGGATAAGCATCGGGAGCATTTGGGCAAGTACTCCTACTCACCCAAATATTCGGTATGGACACCAATACTAGTATCGGTACATCCCTGGTTGCCATTGCTAGTAAATGGCACCCCAAATGCAGCTGAGAGCGTGGAGGAAAAAATGTGGAACAAATGTACTCTAATTCCTGCGTTTGGTGCGTCCAGGAACCCATTGAAATCAATGGGGATGCGTGGCGAACGCCCACTATGCTCAGATGTGAATGGGGGCTTCTAGATCGAAGTTCTTTGTCTAATGTGTAAGGTTGTATTTAACACCGTAATAACAATGGAAATAAGAGTATCCCGACCTGAACTGAGACTTGGGTCCCTTCTTCTTCTTTATATCTTTAGCCATGTTGTGATGCAGGTCACCTAGTTGAGAGCTCAGGAAAATAGGTGAAATGGCATGGAGAATAAGATGAGATGAAGAGGAAAGGGAGGGAGGAGGAAAGAGCTGTGACAAAAAGGATAAGGATGTCCAGTCTGACATCCCCTTTTATTCACTTTGGGTGACTGGTTATCTCCCTAAATGATGGAAAGATGACCTGCATGATGGCAAATGAGTTGGCTCTGGTTGTTCTTATCCAACTGTCAACACTTAAAAAGTGCTTGCTTACAGCATTATATTTTAAATATACACCGATCAGCCATGGCATTATGACTACCCACCCAATATTGCGTAGGTCCCCCTTTTACTGCCGAAACAGCCTTGAGCCGTAGAGACATGGACTCAACTAGAGCTCTGAAGGTATGCTGTTACCTGGCACCAAGCCAGCAGTAGCAGATCCTTTTTAAGACCTGTAAATTGCAAGGTTGTAAGCTCCATGGATTGGACTTGTTTTTCCAGCATGTCCCACAGATGCTCGCTTGGATTGACATATTGAGAATTTGGAGGTCAAGTAAACACCTCAAACTAATCTGGTCCTCCAAACTATTCTTGAGCTATTTTTGCAGTGTGGCAGGGTGCGATATCCTGCTGAAAGAAGCCACTGCCATCAGAGAACACGCTTTCCTTGTACTTAGTCAAAAAACAATGTTTAGGTAGGTGGTACATGTCAAAGTAACATCCACATGAATAGCAGGACCCAAGGTTTCCTAGCAGAACATTGCCCAAAGCATCACGCTACCTCCGTTAGCTTGCCTTTTTGCTATAGTACATCCTGGTGCCACCTTCTTCCATTCCTCTGTGGTTAAGTTTTGACGCTCACGTGCCCATTGTAGGAGCTTTTGGCGGTGGACATGGGGGCTTTCGCTCCCCATGTGCATCAGTATGTGTTGGCCGACCATGACCCTGTTCCCCGGGTTTCCCAGGTCCCCGGTTCACTAGTTTTCTTCCATTTTGATAGGTCCTGACCACTGCAGATTGGGAACACCCCACAGGAGCTGCTGTTTTGGAGTTGCTGTGACCCAGTCTTCTAGCCATCACAATTGGCCCTTGTCAAAGTCACTCAAATCCTTACACTTGCCCATTTTTTTCTGCTTCCAACACATCAACTTCAGGGAAAATTGTTCACTTGCTGCCTAATATATGCCACCCACTTTAAGGTACCATTGTAACGAGATAATCAATGCCATTCACTTCATCTCTGTGGTCAAAATGTTATGGCTGATCGGTGTAAATGTTTCTTAGGACGGCAACTAACGATTATTTTCATAATCGATTAGTTGGCTGATTTTTTTCGATCGGATAAAATAAAAAAAAGAAATGCCATCTTTTATTTCAAATAAAATATACAAATTGAGTGTTTAAAAACATAAAATTTACTTCAAAATAAAACTGCATATACATTGTTTGCAATTGCACTGCATTGGAATGGACAGCAGTTTTGTTACCGCATTAAAAAGAATTCTGCACAGCTGTGTTGCTTCACTTTTGTATGTCATCATCCTTTGCACACTTTACTGAGCAAGTGAATAAAATGTAACTCTTCATTGCAATGACCTTATGAGCTTCAGCGTACTAATTGTGCTTTCTATATTTTCATTTTTAGGAAAAGAAGAAAGAGAGAAAATAAAACAAGCCATTCCCCAACTTTACCATTTTCTGGGTTTTCATTCCCTCTCTCCCTCTCTCGTTCTTTCTCTCTCTCTAGCTTTGTCCCATGATGTAATGAAAAGATTGGGAAGCACTTCACACTTTTTTTTTTTTTTTCTGTCATTCTGTTATGTGCATTTTCCTCTTCCCCACCTGTACAGTGTTTTGCTGATTTTTCCTAAGATCCTCCATATCAGAACTAATCTAATTGTATCACCATGATGCACACATTTTGAACATTACAATGGGCAGGAAGAGATTTCACATGCTCCTGTACAGGGCACACACTGCAATATTGGGTGTTTAGCCACACACACTGCTGTATTGAGCAGTTACCTTTAATATCACAGTGTGCCTGAAAAAAAGCACAGCCGTGCCTGACGCTGATTCTGTGAAAGTCCGTCTCTAATAAGGAAGTGCAAGGTGCAGTAATCCATAGCAACCGAGTTTCAGTCTTCTATATTTACATCAGTGCAAAGTGAAGCTGAACTGGTTGCTGGGGTTTACTCCTTGTACTTTGCGTTCTTTCTTGGATAAGCCTGAGATCTTTATTGGGGAAGCCGATAAATATTGTTGACCACTTTTTGGCTTTTACACGCAGTCATCTTGAACACAAGCCTATTGGAAATGTGTGCATCACAGAGATTTGATGTTTGAGAGCTTTTTTTTTTTATGAGTTGCTCTAGAGTTTGGCATAGTCAAAACACATAAGTTGAGGAGAGAGGTTTGGCTTCCAATTGCTGCATTGTTATCATGCAAACAGACCAGCTCAAGCAATTCATTTCTCTGGCCATATAATGGAGTATATTGCTCTAATCTGCTAACATAGTCACTGGGACGCAAGCTGTACACATCCACAGAAAACCTTCTGAGAACTTGGTGCTCCCTCTACTGTGAATGGACTAATGGATGCCCAATCGCCTGGCTGTGTGCGTGGCAACCAGCTTGTAGGATTTTCATCTGTCTCCTGCTTTCTGCCAAGTCTCATGTTTGCTCAATGATCGAATTGCCATCTCACGAAGGAACTAAGAGTTGTTAAGTGCTGGATTATTGTTGGTACAGCCCATTCCTTCCACCACCCTGACATCCTTATGATCCTGACCAATAAATAATGTCAGGATATTATGTTTAACACTGAAGATCTGAAGACACAATCTCTGCTTTGTGTCCTCGCTTCTTATGTAAGAAATACAATCCTTTTTAACCCCTTGCACAAAATAAGTATTGAAATGCTGTAATTACATGTAAATTGCATTTGAGTAGATAAAAGACCCTTCTTTTTTTTTTTTTGGGAGTGGAAGTATATTGTAGTTTATTTTCTGCAGCTATAAACCTTGTCCCCTTATATCTAAACCCCTTATTGGGAAAAATATCCATCTTCATTTACATGAGTTGGCTTTCTACTGCGTGGATTTCAATAACCAGTTCATGCACTAACCATCTTCTCTTCTAACTCATCCAGTGTGTAGAAGATGAGCAGTAGGAGGTCTGAGACTTTGTGCAAGAGGTTGGATTAAAGTGTTACTCTTCCCTGATTGCCCCACACCCAGTCTTTCCCCTTGCATGCTTTTAGGGATACGGCAAGCTGCTTTAGAAACAGTGCCAAGACTTACCTTGAGGATAAAAAGAAAATTCTATGTGAAAATGTATAACGTTTTCATAATAACTTTTATTTTATAGTGCAGTGATTTTCTGATTGCTGATATAACTCCTGACAGTGAGCACAGTTAAACTTTTTGATTGAAATACGAAAAAAAAAATGGATTAATTTGTACAAATTCTTAAAGTACTAAAATAAAAACCTACAGATAACACAAAGATTGTGTTTTTATTTATGTTCACATCCACGTTCATTAGTTTTAGTAAAAGAGTACCTCTTCTTTTTCTACTTGCATCTTCTGCCTGTGACCTAGTGCCTAGTTGCACATGTTGGATCATGTGACTGGTAGCAGCTCTATATTGTGGCCAGTAACGTCACCAACTTTTTCATTCACTTTCGCTGAATATTTTGACATCAGCATGCCGGTGCCCTGCTACTGTGGTTTCTGACCATGTGACCTGAAGCTGGAGTGGACCTCCTGTTTACAGATCACAGGTATGTGTTTCGCCAGCCTCAGTCTGTCAATGTGATTAAAGACCCCGCTATTGTATAAAATATTGTATTCTGGTAACTGTGTGGGCTTAATACTTGTGATCGTATTCAGCATATAAAATCCTTTTTTATTTCATATGCCTTTTTTTTTTAATTTGTTTTCTCTGTATTTACCTGAAGCTGACCAGCAACATTGACTGTTACAGGGGGTGGGATAATCTATAACCTTAAAGCGTGTGTTTACAATGGCCAGCTTTCATTCGTATGCATTTCAACCCTTTTTTCAAATGGAAAAAAAAAAAAACTATTGGGCTTGAGGATGATTGTTTTTTCCCCAACCCAAATAACTATGGTGCTGTAAGTGACAAACCAATTAAAGTGATATTAAACTCAGGAGTTAAAAATGAAAAATACATTCAAGTACCCTAACTATTAACAGAAATGAATTTCATATGCCTTTTTTTTTTTATTTGTTTTCTCTGTATTTACCTGAAGCTGACCAGCAACATTGACTGTTACAGGGGGTGGGATAATCTATAACCTTAAAGCGTGTGTTTACAATGGCCAGCTTTCATTCGTATGCATTTCAACCCTTTTTTCAAATGGAAAAAAAAAAAAACTATTGGGCTTGAGGATGATTGTTTTTTCCCCAACCCAAATAACTATGGTGCTGTAAGTGACAAACCAATTAAAGTGATATTAAACTCAGGAGTTAAAAATGAAAAATACATTCAAGTACCCTAACTATTAACAGAAATGTATCTTATGTGTGTATCACTCACAGGAGTGAGCTTGGAGCGGTGGCTACTTTACAACACACACAGGGACCATGGGGAATAAAAGTAGCCACCCTCCAGAAGGAAGGACAGTGTCAGCAGCAATTCAGAGATGATTTGAGGATCTACAGCTGAGTAACATACAAATAAGATACACTTTTGTTAATAGTTAGATGTTTGGTGGTACACACCACGGGTTTTTTTTATGTAACAGGGCCTCCAAAGTGTCCTTGCGAAATGTTTTGCCCGTGACCGTGTAGAAGAGTTGATACACCCTATGCCGATGGACTATAATTTCAATGCAAATTAGTAAACTAAACTTGAGACTGCATCTGCACCATCCTCAAACCGTGCCCTTGAATTCCTAGACTAGGGAGCGCTTCCTTATGTCAGTGGGAAGGCATTTCTACAACATCACTAC